AAAAAGTTAGATTTAACTCTCGTAAAAGTATTCTCTTATAAAAAAGGGTGTAAAGGGTTCATTGAATAACAAACTGTACATGAAGTATCTGCGTCAAAAACATTATTTCTGTCTTGGGAATAATCTCTTTATTATTTCATACTATTCAGAAATTAGAATAAGAGAAAAGTGGATTAATTTATTATACCCATTATAAATAAGCTTGCAAATCCCACAATATGGTGCACCTGCAATATCGCAAGTATGAAACATAAGGCATACTACTACTCTCATATTCATTTTATAATGCTATACTACAGTAATAACAAATAACTCACATCGTGAATATAAATTCCAATACCTGCTCAATAATGCATGATAGCATATCGTAGTACTCTGCTATCATAAATAGCCACTGAAATAGCAACAAATGTAATTGTTTTCGTTTTTTTTTCTTTTTTATATATACATTTGTTATTTAAGTTTGATAATTTATATTTATAGTTTTCTTTATTTTTTTTTTAATGAAATAATGTAGCAGAAAAAAACAAAAGAATCGCTATACGTTTTTTAACTTTTGCATCCTGTTAAATGAAGAAGATATGATTTCTTTATTATTACGATAACTATATAAAATTCAATGTAATATTGTCATTGTAAAAAGTTTTTTTTTTTTTTTTATATATATATGTTAACATGTAAAACAGTGGCTATTTTTATTCTAATGATAATCATTGTTACAACTAAAAATTCAAAATCAGTGGGTAATAGTGAATTCTAGTTGTACCTCTATGATGGATGTTCAACACATGGTACCGATAGTGAGCTTTCAAAACAAGATATGACAAACACAGTAAAATTGCTTGACTAGTGAGCAACTTATGCTCCAAAATGTAATTATGGAAGAAAAGTTATTTTTTCTATCAGCTCAAAATATCTTATTATACACAGTAATTCTTAGGCTGTCTTTCCTCTATAAGATAATGTTACTATCTATTATGTAAGAGCATATTAATTAGTGATGTTTATACACCCTATTTCTTTGTTCTTTTGGCAGATTGAGTTTTATTAAACTCAGCATGCATAATTATGTTTTATTTTTAATTATTATTTCTTTCTTCTTCTTTTTTTTTTTTTTTTATTTTTTTATTTTTATTTTTAATCTTGTGCTATATTCGTCAAGCCGTTTTACACACTTGGTTAATCACTTGAAGTTCTACTATCATCATATTTCGGGTTTGTGTTCTGCATGATTTTATGTTCTTTTCATTTCGATTTCTCTCATTAACGTTTATCGATTATGAAACATTATGATAAAATAAGGAAAAGGCGCGTAAATGTGATTCCATGGAATTCAGTACAACGTGTACTGTTCTTTTTATCTCAAATTGTACGTTATGAACAAGTCTTATTTTTTCTTATATTCTTCTCTTCCACCCTCCCCCCCCCACCCCAATAGTTTTCCTCTTTTTATTTAATGGGCTTCTAAAAAGTCACGTTGATATTTTTTGTTTCTTTTCTTGTTTTTCTTTTTTTTTTTTTCTTTCATATTTATATATATGTATATACATATATATACATATATATATGTATATATGATAAATTATATATATGTATATATACATATATATATATATTTTGAGTAGAATTACTACGACAGACTGAGTGCTTAGAATCGCTGTTTGCATATTGACTAATATTATATATTATTTTACATTTCCATCGATAATAACGCTTAAAGTTCAAAGATTTAAGGGCAAAATAGTTTTCCCTGAACTATCGTCCTATATCATTCTTCATTCTAGTTGGGATCCTCATTTTCTACATACATCAAAGCGCTTATTTACATTATCGTAAACGATGTTTTAACTCGAACATATCCATTGCCACAGACACACTGGACACCGATTCCAATTTTTTTATTTTTTTCTCTCTCTCTTTCTCTCTCCCTCTCTCTCTCTTTCTCTCCATTGCTCACCAGAAGATTTTAGAGAAATCTTAGGACAAAAGATCTGCGAAATAACAAGTCATTAATAAATTAATATTTTCATTATCTGCATTTAACCCATTTAGAATGGAAATAATTAATTTTGTCCAAAATTTGTATGAAATTTTTATTCTAAAAAATTGTTTAAAAATCACAAAAAAAAAATACATTCGTGTAAGGGTTGCTGGGAACCACTTGTCTCATATATGTTACATTATATGTTAAATTAAGCGAGTATATAAAGAAATTTGTTTGAATGAACTTTAATTTACATTATGATATGATAGGTCTAAATGGGTTAAAGGAATATTTCAAAATTGATTACCCATTAATTGTCGTCATACCTGACATTTGATTGCTGTCTTGCTGTTTGTTATTCACGTAAGCATCTTGGAAAGGATTGATATTGGCGTTAGCACCAGCAGATGTAAAGGTATTTGCCAAGGGTGTGAATGGTGTTGCGGCCGGATTCAAATTCGAGTTGAGGGTATCTTCCGTGGCCATGTTGAGCGTCAATTCAAGCGTTGGACCACTACTGTTATTACTCAGAGTATCGAATTCTGACAGGTCTAACAGGTTGTTGGTCACGTTGTTTTGTTTGCTATAAAATCAGCCAAAGGAAACATACAAACTCTAATTAACAGCTAACTGCTAAGCGCTACTACGATTTTAAAAATATTATACCGTTACATCAGCAGAGTTTACAATGACTACAATAATCATTAATGACTAATATGGTAAGCCCAACTGCAGCTATTTATTTCAATATCTGTCGATTAATTATACTCTACCAATAATTCTTGTTTCTTCTCATAAGTAAAGCACGTAAAAGAATATATGTAGAAAAAAAAAGAAACATAAGCAAAAAATAAAATACTTTTATTAAATAAATCTCACATATTGTGGGGATACTGATGTTAAATGATTTTATATACCAATATAAAACTGTAAGAATTCGATGTATTCAAAAAAAATATTTATAAATTAAACTTAGAATTAGATTCGAATCAAACTCGATCATATCTAGCAAAATATCGTACGTATTGAATAATAAGCAAAATTATTTGCAGACGAGGTCCCTAAGTCTTCTTTTATTTTATTTTATTTTATTGTTTTTTTTTCTGTATCTAAATGTGTGCGTGTTTTTTTCTTTTTTTTTAAATAAATCTATACTAAGTTCTATACGTAAATTCCACATTATAATTAATAACACAACTATCTTGTAATTTTATTAGTTGCATTTTGCAAGCTGTATTAATAAAGTATATAATAATAAGAAATATTTCAACCGATTAATAATATCATCACACGAATATGTATAAAAGGGAAATAGTACATAGCAAAAGTCGGCAGCCAGTTGACAGGCAATGCCTGATATAATATATTTAACGCAAACATATATATATATATATATATATATATATATATGGTATATGTGTGTAAAATTGCAAAAATTAAAATGACAAGCCAGATTTTGTAATCGATATAATAAAAAATATAACATGCACATTGTTAACATTTACTGCGATATATATATATATATCGACATAAGGAGGAAATTTACACAGCAGGCTTTAAATGGTAATCAAAGGAAAGAAAACGGAGCTTGGTAAAGATAACTTTTGATATATATCGTATTACCTGAATGATTTAAAATGTTATAAAACAATGTTTCAAAAATAAAACTCCGTGTATATTCTAAATACAATGATAATAACGAACAGTATATTTAATGATGAAAAAGTTTTTAATAAAGAGTTTTATTAAGAGATCATTAATGCGCGTGTAAATAAAACGAACAAAAAAATAAATGAAATAACCGCGTAGCACTTTATTATTTATTATTTTCTTTATTAGTGAAATTAAAATAAATATGAAAAATTAAATAAAATTCATTATCTTAACCGAGCTCCTTTTATCAAATTACAAACAATATTTGAATGATTAATTAAGTTTATGCTATTCATTTTTCTTTACATTATGTACACTGATGTTATTGTTATTAATTTAGTTAACACTAGATTTGTTTAGTTTTATTAGCCATTCCATAATTTTATGCTTCTTCGATATTACATTACGTTATATGTTTTTAACAGAGTGCTAAGTGGGATTAGTGTTATACATTTGATAAACTTTCAAATACTTTTCATAAGACTATCTGAAAATAGTAAACTTTTCAGCTGATGCATGGTTAAATATAAATTATAAAATATATATGCAACTATTAATATAATAGATAAATACAATATACAATCGTACCTTTTTATATATCATGCCATCATTTTGTTTATGGTAGTATTTTGTAATAAATTATTACTTTATTAATATGATAATCAAGTAATCAATTAAATTAAAAATTACACTCGATGTAGTCATTAAACATCGTACTAATATTAAGCTTGTCAATCCTTGTTCTCTCTGGCCACTTTTGCAATGTACAATTAAATTACGAATTATTAGATTAGGAATATTTCTGAGTGAAAACAATTATTCCGATATTAAAAAGTTTAAGATCGTTTAACAAGCGGATTTCTCTCTCTTCAAGTAAATCTTTTAAAAAATACAATAGAATGTATTGTTACAGAAACTTTGCACCTAGTTTTATATATAAATATATATATATATATATATATATATATATATTAAAATTA